ATTTTTGTGTGCCTTACAATTCTTTTATTATAGGAATAATGAAAATAAAATTGTCCACTACTAAATTTTGAATGGCCAATGAAAAGCATTTGTTATTTTCAATAAGGTAATAATGTTAACTACCTTTTACTATTATATCATCTAAAACTATTAAAACCTTTTCCTGGTTTTCCAAAAACTAACATTTGATCAATACAAACACTTTATTTAATGTACGTTTACTGAGTCTTTTTGTAGTATAGTAACAGCTTCTCAGTTTGCTATTTGCCTTTAATTTTGTGTGTAATTTTGACATTCAAGTTGTTAATTTGTATGTTGTCAAGTCCATCTCTTTTTAAGCTTAGAAAGTCCTTGTCACCCTAAGATTAAATATTCATCTCTCTATGTTATTTTCTTTTTAACATTTCAGTTTGTTTGGAAGTTGAGTATAAAATATGACATAAGGGCCTAGCATGATTTTTTCCCAACACCAATTATTGGTTAATGTATTCCCTCTCCATTGAGTTGGATTCCTTCATTTATCATACACACATCTGTTTTGTCCAATTAACTTGTCATTCTTCTACTAATATACTTTTCATTACTAGCACTTGATAATCTATTTTAATAATAGCTCAAATTCTTTTTGCTGTTCTTTTTAAATCTTGGTATCCTGACAAATTCTTGAAGATGTATACACTTTTATTTTTCAAATCCAAAAAAAGAGTCAAATGAGATTTTGGTCAGGATTACATTATGGTTATAACCTAATCTGCTAAGCCTTAACATTTGCCAAATCAGTCTTCTCATCCCATTTCCACAAATCTTCATTTAGATCTCATAGCGAAGTTCTCGAAGCTTTCTGTGTGGACCTGGGAGATGAGTCTCACCTCGGGTCTGATTACACTGCTCTGTGGATGCCACTCCCGTGCTACTAGAGACCAGATCCCCATTTTGTTTCAAAGGAAATTAACATGCAGAGTTAAGAAACAAGACAGATGTCTGGTGCCATCTCCCTGCCCTTCCTTTAGTGTCTGCTTTTTTTGTTTGAAATACATCAAGTTGAGTTTTTGTCACAAGCAAACTGAGTACTGATTAACATTCAAATTGTTAATTGAGAAAGGAATACTTTCCTCTGATTAAAATAAGCAATCTGTGCCCTGTATCATCCGTTTGCCCTCCACATCCAGGGAGGACTCTGCTGTGCAGGAAGGCTGACCCGAACTTCCCAGAGGATTCCCCCGCTCTCTGGGTTCCTGTTTTTGTCAGGCTGATGAGCAGGTCTAGTGGAAGACAGAGGAAACCAGAAAGAGAGCTCCAGGTATGTATTTCCCTGGCTCGCTCTCTGTGAGTTTGGACTATGTTCTTCAGCCAACCTAAAGTTTCTCTCCAAATGGCCTCTCCTATGTGGTCCCCTCTCCTCCTGCTTTAGAGGTGGTGACAGTTTTGCTGCTATTGACTTCACCTACTGCATTCATCTCTGTGGTCCCCCTGTCCTGCTCATTTCCTTGTAAATATCCTTGATTTATCTTACTTTGAGTGTGCCATCTGTTTCTAGTTGGGGACCTGACAGTCACAATGCTAACAGCTGTATCAGTATGAAATAAACTCATTATTACATCAAAAGTGACAGGTTATCTAAGACAGCAACATTTTCAGTACAGTAGCAACATACACAAAAGTAAGTAGAGGACATACCAAACCTTGAGAATATTCAAAACTCTGAAGCTGGAATCTTTAAAAGTTATAAAATTATACATATACACAGAGGGTGCCAAAAAGTATTGTTAATGCTATATACTGATAGCATTTTTTATCTTGTATCCCTTGTAATTGCGGGTCAAACATGAGTATTATAATTTTAATACAGTTTTTCCTTTCTTAGAATGCGTGTATATTTTTTTGGCACCGTGTGTGTGTGTGTGTGTGTGTGTGTGTGTTTCACAAACATCCGCAGAAAATGAGAAGGAGCCAGAGTGGAAGTGGTGGGGATTGAAAAAGTAAAACAAGACACAAGAGATGAAAGATGGGGTTGGGAGGTCTGACACAGCTGATGACTGCAGCCAGCACCAAAACACAAAATCAGCTTTATGTTACAGTATCTCAGCAGGGTTGTTTACAGGAAAGTAGCATAAACAAAAGACTTATTTTTGGTCTTAAAAATATGATTGGAAAATGTAAATATCAAAAACAAATCACCTTGTTAATGGTTTCTACTTCACTAACATGTTAAAAGGTAAAAAGGGAAAGATCTCAAGGATTTCTGCATAGTTCCCAAAGATTAACTAGACAAAGAGCTACTCACAGAAGGAGCATGGAGAAAGGAATATTGTTTGGGGAAAGGAAGAGAAGCAGTGG